ACAGGATGGGACTTTATAACCTCCACCTGGTTCTGGAGGACCATGGAACCTTCTAGAAGCCAGTGGGCGGAAGGGGTGAAGACCTAATCTGCATGTTTAAGGGAGTCTAACCAATCCCAGATTTGGAGGTCCAGGTAGAGTGGTGAGACCTACCCATAAGGAAGAGTCAGGCTAGCAGAGGAGTCAGGGTGGAAGAGTGCTAAGGAGACTGTCAGTGGCCTGGGGAGGGGTCGCCTAGGTCTGGGGGGGGGGAGGGGGCTGGCCTGCAGGCTAGGCTTGGGCTGTCTCAGGTGGGTCCATTCAGCATTACGGCATGAACAGGATCAAGGCCTGGGAGCAGTGGGAGCAAGAAAGGACAGAGTGAGTAGATCAGCACACCCAGGGTTTTACAAAGGGAGAGCCTGCCACATGTAGCAAACTTTCAAAGGACAGTACTGTACCTAATCCTTACTCTTTGTCCTGGGAGATTTTCAGAGCAACCAAGAGGGCTGGTAGTGTCTGCAGGCTGTGGAGCTGGGAACAGTTCTACAGAGTGGAGGAGGAGACATCTCTGCATGTAGTTTACAACAAGCTATGCTAACTTTCAGAGGGGTTGCGAGTCCCAAGCCTGTAAGGGGCTGTTGCTATTGATCTGCAATGACTGACTGCTTTCAAGGACAAAAACAGTCCAGGATCTGTTTCTGTAAATGGGAAGGAAGTTTTCCCCATGCATTGATTCAGTCAAGTTGGGCATCCCATTATCGCTATTACCCCATCCATTTTTTTTCCCCTATTAAAATTAAAACCAAGCTCATGGACTGTTCACTGACTGTGGATGCAAGTGCAGAAAATGCATGTTGCCTGGCTGTGCAGAGCTTGGGGGGACCTAGAAACACAGCGGCCCTCAAGAGGGTAGCGCTACATATATTTTGCAAGTAAGAGTATTCATTCTGATTAGCACTGTGTGTAATATGAAGTTCTGTATCTCATCAGGCCTATTTACAAGGTAAGCATGTACTGTATATCCACCACTAATTATCCCACTAATGTACACCAAGCTGTAGCTATAGTAATTATTAGCAGGTGTTCCCTGAGACCAGAAATATATTTCAAGAGTTCCTCCATGTTAAAAAGGTTGAGAAAAAAGGTTAGGAGTGTCAGGGGCAGACTGACAACTCATTGGGCCCCCGGGCAATAGGGGATCATGGGGCCCCTGTGTCCTTGCCCAAACTCCAAAAAGTACAAGGGGCATCTCATGGGGCCCCCTACTGACCCCAAGCCCTCGGGCAGTGCCCGAGTTTCCAAATGGTCAGTCCGCCCCTGAGGAGTGTCAAAATTCATGTTTCTCTACTTTTGTAGGGAAGTGAGTTCTCCATTCTAGTTGGATAAAGTATGGCCCAAACCTTTTTGAGAGACTTGGGAGTTATTTGTAAAGTAGCTGGTGAAATCTTGTATTCATTTCCCAGGTTGTCCAACAGTTCTGGTTTCTGCTGGAATGTACCAGAATCAATACATACTGGCATCCTGCAGACTGTCCTAGCGACAAGTACAGGGACATTTGTTATAGCGCTTGGCTCCTGCTCTCTGCAGAAACCATGGGCAGTGTAGTCTTCTGCCAACAGATTCTGCATAGTCCTGGCAGTGAAGAGGAGGCAAAGGGAATAAGAAGCAGTGTGGGAAGGGCTGGGACAAGGGGTGGGCAGGAGGGGAAGGCGCCCAGGTTGCAGTGGTAGGGGAGGGCGCCATCTCACTGCACACAAAATCCAGATTAGTTGCTAACAATCAGGGGCTGCAGTTTCATGTCTGTTCTGACAGCTACTGCTGTCATGCCATGCTCCAGCATACGTGCTTTCTACCCTATCTGCCCACAGCTAACAAAAAAAAACTTACTGTGCATGTGCAACTACCTTCTAGCCACAAGAAAGCCAGCAATTGGCCATGCAGGGGCAGTGCATACTCCATGTCAACTTTGGGCAGTTGAAGCAAGGGGACATAGAACGGGAACAATGTGGTACACTGATTCTATTAAATGCATGGGGAAGGGAGGGGGGATCGCAGTTCTGCATGCTTGCCCTGGGTGCTGGATGAACCTGTCCCAGTACTGGGTGTGGGACACAGACTACTACAAGGTAAGTTCCTACTGAGCACCTATGTACCCCATCAGCCCCCAATAACCATGAAGAAACACTCCAACCCCCATTGACCATCTATGTATCCCATGAGATCCCACTGACCATCAGTGTACTACTTTAGCCACCACTGACCACCAATGTACCTCTTCTGCCCCTTCATTGTGTATGAGAGGATAACATTTATAGGCAGTGAGTTTCACATTCCTGGTTGAATACTGTGAGTGGTCAAAAAATTGAGCACTATTGGTGTGGACCTGAGAAAGCAAGGAAGTTGTGCTGTCCTCTAGAATCCCAGACATTGCAGGTGAAGATCTGCTGTCACTTGTTCTGGTGCAGGCCAATACCAGTTATTAATTTAATAGGAAGCTAACTGGTATCTCAGTTGCCAGCTTTTAGTTATGTACAATGAGAAATGTATCATAACTGAAGCCTTAAAAAAGTACTTCAAAAAGTTGATGCTGCAAATTAAAAAACATTATGCCGCTGTCACTAATGTTGAAGATGACCTCTTTGCTTATTTGTACTCAATGAAATGTATTTTACAAATGCAAGCAGAGTAAGCGCCCAAATGTGACCTGGTGTCAGATTCTTGCAGTCTTTGTACAGTATAGCTGGATGTTGAGGCAGAAGCAGCACAAGAAGCCAATCAGTTCAAGAGCTAAAAAGCAGTATGCTGATAGGAGGAGAAAGACAGAGTGATGAGCTTATTACTTTGCTGCTCCATTCCCTGTCAAGTCGCAGGCTGGAGCAGGTCCAGGACAACCAGGGCTCAGAGGAAGTGGGTTGAACATTTCTTTGCTTGGATGGCTTGAGTGATCCAGCAGCAGTGAACACTAATGATGAATTTTTCCACAGTGCCTTTAATTACAGAGGGTTTGATATGAAGCTTCTTAAGAATGAGTAAATACGCCCATAGCCTGGCCACAAGGTCACTTTTAACTAGAATTTATTTAAAAAAAATGTATTCTAAAAAAATAAGATAGGTAATTTTTCTAAAGGTCACATTTTGTAAACATTTTATAGTTGTATTACATTTTTTAATACCCAACATAAAACATAAAAATGTATTTGAATAGGATGCTGCAAGTTCATATAAATATATTTCCCCCCCCCCCCCGTGAAGTTTGCCAGTGGTGTCAGTGCATCGCTGTCCTCTGTTGAATATTAGAAATAATCACAGTAATATACAGTACAGTATGTATATTTTACTACATATTATACATAAATGCCTTTCATGTTATATGTATTCCAACTTTTTGTCACATTTGTGCAGTTATTGGACAGAGTAAGATCCTTAATGGATGCATCAATAATAAATGTCATTCTGACAGTTACAATGTTTTCCACATGTGAATATTTTATATGATGCTTTTTTCTGCGTGCTCTTAAAAGGAAAAAGTAATGAATTCACATGGTAAAACCATCCTTCCAGACAGCCCCCAAGCTCTGTAACCTCTCCTTTGCTGGTCGATCCACAAATAGTTCTCAGTATTTGAAGACTGCAAGGAAACATTTATCAAGTTGGCTCTGCCAAGACAACGCTGATCTGGAAAGGTCCAAGCATATGAAATAGAAACTGTAGCCTTGTCTGTGCACAAAACACCTATTATTTCCCCACTGGAAGTCATTTCAGTGTCTGCATAAGTTTTAAGATACAAATTGCAAGGAACAGAGATCAAACTATTAGCTGCTAAAGTCCTGTGCAAGCTGTCTGCAGGGCCTTCAATCCAATTAAGTACAGGCAGCAGACTAAAAATGTCCGGATCAATTCCGAGCCAGGTTAATATTCAATCCATAATCACATTAATGACAATCTGTCCATAATTAGCTATTTGATAATCCCTAGAAGCATAGAAAAGACTTTTCAATTGTCAGGGGGGGGCCTTTGATGCCGGTTTAACCCCTGCAGTCAACTAACAAAGAGAACGCGTAGACAGTACTGTACAGCTAAGGGTTTTCAGTAACGGCGTTCTGTCCCCAGACCGCAGGGGCAGGTTTAATAAACAGCAGCAAGCACCAGAAAATATTATTTTTCCAGGAAGAAATAAGACCACTAATCCTCACAAGCCTAATCATGCTCATGGTTCAATTAGTAAATTGCAAATCTTTATCTCGGAGTCTCTGGATGTAAGCTGTCAAAATCCAATATTGTAATAACAGTCTGTTCATTAATGAGCTAATCAAGGGAAACAAAAGAGACCTGAATCAGTGTTAGAAGATCAGGGAATCAAGAAAATCCAGATATGTTTACACCATTCTAAGGAAGGTGGTTTCATTATATTCAAATACTTTGTCAATAGATAAAGAGTATCCAGAAATAGGATGAATGTCTACAAAGTACCATGGATGAAGCAAAGGGTGTAATTTACTAGAACTGGAGAGTGCTAAATCTGGTGCAGCTCTGCATAGAAACCAATCATCTTCAAGGATTTATTGCCAAAGCTTAAAGTGTTACTAAACCCAGGACTCTGCATCCACTATATCTGGTCTCCCACAGTGCACAGAACATGGAAATGCAATTATTTTAGTAAATATAAACTGCTAAATACCTTTTCTTATCAGCAGTTAGAGCAGTCTTGTGACTTCTATCAGTGTTCAGCCAAGCACTAGCTAAGGCTTGTAGGAGGAGTTTCCATTCTGCTCTAGAAGGATGCAGAGCCCCTGACCTATGTCTGACCAGTGCTGATTGGCCCTGTGCTGATCACATGCACTCTCCCCAAAAAAAGAAAAAACCTCTTTAGCAATACAGACCAAACTGAGCATGTACAAAATGCCTACGGTTCAGTCTGTTTTATCAGGAGATAAAAGGTGGTTGCTTTCAAAAGGGGATGAACAGAGAAGAAAAGATCAAAGGGCCTTTTTACACAATACAGAGGATTAACCCCTCAGGTTCCACAGTGTGTATAACAAGCATGCTTTACTGCATATAAAGACTGATTTTACTGTTGTGGGTTTAATTACACTTAAATTGAACAAGCTGAAGTTAGAAGCTGATTGGCTACTATGTACAGCTACACCAGATTCTGAGTTCTCCAGTTTTAGTAAATCTCATCCAAAGTGTTTAAAGTAGAACTATAGGTAGGTAAAAGCTTTTTTTTTCTTTTTTTTGAGCAAAGGTGGGTTTTTCTTTCTATTTGTGTCCCATTGGGAAAATTTCCTTCCTGTTCCATAGCCAAAAAAGGAAGTGAAAAGAAGACCTCCAAAAATGAGGAAATGCCTGGTTGTCAACAGAGCTAGTGTCCCCATTGGAAGATAACTTTTCTGTGGACAACCCAAATTGGGATTTTCTTTCAATTTCACACTCGGTGATAATGGTAAACAGGACAAATAGAAAGGGTGAAGCTCCTTCACAGGGGCACAAACAGTAATTAAAACCTGATAGGTGTTCTAATCCCTCTCTACATGCAAAACTAAGACAAAAGCTTTGCCTTTAGTTACACTTTAAATAAAACAATGAATGGAAGATGAAAGAGAGAGAGGTGATGCCATAACTTCATATCTGTATGTGAAGACATAACTTTTTTTTTAATTTTGGAAAGAATGTGGAAGATTTAGAAACCCTGTCATTTTTTTTATTGTTGTCTTTTTTGTCCATGCTTAGGAGGTTCCCCATTTCTATTTGCATTGGTGACCATTTTCACCGCATCAGAAAGGGAGGAACTGAGTGTAAATCTTCCAATGGGGACACCTGTGCTGGTGACAACTGTATATCTCACTTTGGTGAGATATTATTTTTTTTCATTACTTCTTGTTGTATCTCTATGTCTAAGGCTAGGTTCACACCTATGTAGGTTGTGTCTGAGCTGTTTCTGCATTGTGTTTTGCATTTTTGCACCTGCATTTTTTACACGTTTTTTGCCATGGTTTTGATGCATTTCACGTTTTTTTTCAAATTTTTTTTGTTACTAGGCAGATTTAAAATGCAAAACGTAGCAAAAACGCACTACATGCTTTTCTGCAGTGTTTCCATTGAAGTCTATAGAACCAAAAACACAACTTTTTGCGTTCAAAAAAGTCCCTGACCCTTTCCAAAAAATGCACCGGGTGAAAATGCGGAGATGTGAACGTGTCCCATAGGAAATCATGTTAAATGGACTGTAGTGCATTTCTGAAAAATGCTTCGGAAAACGCTTAGGTGTGAACCTAAGGTAAAGTACCTGATTCTCTGCTTATGCAGGTGCCTCCGCTTTGCAAGACTGGTCCCTGCAGCCTCTTCACCCCAGCATTCCAGTGGCTGGATGCCCTCTGGTGTCATCAAGACTGATGCAGGGACCATAGCCCTGGATTGAACATGTGGAGGACGAGGGACAGCCCACTGCCAGACTGTAGGGGAGCACTGTATGCTGGGGAGCAGAGAATCAGGTAAATACAAGTGCTTTTGCCATCCCTTAGACTAAGTGAGCATTTAGAGAAGAACAGACTACTCAAATCTGACATTCAGTTATTCCATACATTCACACTCTTTCTGTATTTGTCGGCATATGCTCAGAAATAAATCTGGACATGCACAGCAATTAAAATATAGAGCCAGTATATCTACAAAACAGAGGCTGATTTACTAAAGAAGATGAGAATTTTCACACAACAAATCCTTTTCAGTGAACCTATCACATGAAAAGCCAATTCCTGTTTCCTTTATATATCCATTCAATCAATATGCAAACATGTCAAGTAAACGGGCATTTTCCATTCACATGATTGGATAATTAAAGTGAATATTCATACAATTTATTGTGTGAAGGGTTTCAGTGTCTTTATAAAATCAACCTCATTGAATCACCTTTCCTGTATGCAATACATATTGGATCCTGTTAGCATTTTAATCAGAACACAAAGGGGGAGACTTACTACAACTGGGGCACACAGAGTCTGGTGCAGCAATTAATAGTAACAATCAGCTTTTAGGTTTTATTATCCAAGCTGAAATGAAAGGCTGCTTGGATACCATGCACAGCTACCACCACTTGTAGTAAATCCCCCCAAAGGATCAGATCAAGTGTTTAAACCAGCCTTTCTCAACATGTTTACACCAGAGGAACCCTTGAAATAACTTGGGGATCTTGGGGAACCAATGCTAAAAGAATTATTGCAGCTACAGGTTACAATACATTGGCATGATCTGCAGGTTGTAGAATATTTTAAATAAAAGAAAAGAAAATAGCGTAATTAGGGTATGTGACACCCAGGCAACTGTGAAGGTTGTAGTGTCACTTTATGCCAGGGTAGCCAACCCCCCCGCCCCCTGCAACTTTTTACTTATAAAACATGACAAATTTACTGACAGAGCATATATTCTACTCACAATCTTAAATACGACAGAAACTCTTAAATACTGTGAGCAGGGGCGGACTGACAACTCATGGGGCCCCCGGACAATAGGGGATCATGGGGCCCCTGTGTCCTTGCCCAAACTCAAAAAAGCCTATGAAAAAGGTACCAGGGGCATCTCATGGGGCCCCCTACTGACTCCGGGCCCTCGGGCAGTGCCCGAGTTCCCAAATAGTCAGTCCGCCCCTGACTGGGAGATTTGATATCTAAAAGGCAGGGCTTTTTTCTCAGAAAATAGGTGCAGGAACTCCTCCCTTCTAAGCCACTCCTCTCTCCGCCCCCACCCATCGCCGAGCATCGTTCCTTGGTTCCACCTCCTACCCACCTCCCACCTAGCAACCAACCAGTAGAGCTGACAGTGGTGGACGAGAGATGACATTGCAGTGGCGACTGGAAAAAATAAAGAATGAATGTGAGATGGATGGAGAGATGTGAGATGGACTCATGCACTCCCCTGGCGCCACCCCTGGCTACACTGTGTGCAGTATTATTAAAGACATTTTATGTTGGTAACAGACATTTAGGGATAGCTGTAAAAATTACTGTTTTTTACAAACTGTGAATATACAGATGGTTGGCAACATTACATTTGTTTCCAGTGCAAAGTGTCCCCTTACATTGGTGGTCAATAGTAAATTGTCCCCTCGCAAAGATGGTCAATAGAAAAATGTTCCCTCACTGTGAAGGTCAATGGAGAAAAATCCTTTTACATTGGTGATCAGTGTAGAAGTGACTCCACAGATTAGATGCCAGTGGAAAAGTGTACTCCTTACATTGGGGATCAGCTGAAAAATACCCACATACATTGGTGGTCAATGGAGAAAACCCTCTTTACAGTGGTGATGGGTGTAGGAGTGACCCATTAGACTGGATGTCAGTGGGATATTGTCCTCTAATAATGGTGGTCATTGTAGATGGGAGATCAATCTGCCACTGCTTGGGGAACCCCTAGCAACTCCTTGAGGAAACCTAAGGTTCAACAAAACCCTGGTGGAGAAAGCCATGAAGTTACTTGCACACTTGCAGTAATTTGAAGTTACTTGAAACAAACTATTTTTACATATGAATTTGTGCAATGATTTCAACATTTGTTATAGTATCAAAATTCATGGCTGGCACCATTTTGTAAATCATTTGAAAATAAAACCATTCTCTGTTTATGTGAATAATAACATAATTATAACTTGCAGTTGGAATAGGCAAAACAATCCTCTTACATTAGCTGTCATACTATTTTTTCCTTAACATCTGTGGTTCAAAAACAGGAAAGTGACCCTGAATGGCAGGTACATGCCTCTATAGAGGACAGGGTCTAACCGGTAAATGACCCCTGTTATATTTCTTAGACCAGGGGACAAGTAACACTGTCATATTTATTATATACACACAATTTTTCATTGGCAGCAATGTAGCTCGTACATTACTGGATTACCTACTAGGAAGCCCTCAGCTGCAGTGCACCGAGAGCACAATGATGTATGTCGGCATCATGCACTAAAATGTTAGCTCTGTATAGCACTTGAACGGCACAGTTTGTGAAGTTCACAGTCTGTGTACAGATGGTTGAGATTCTCTTCTTACCAGTAACAATAGGAGTTCCCATCTGCTTTAATTTCATAATGGATTTAATCCTTGACCCCATCTGCACTCCATGATCCCATATCTGAATTACAGGATCATATACTTGCCCCCACTGAGTGTTGGAAAAAAATAATTTGTAAATCCATATTCTTGATAGATTGTACTAGTGTGCAGGTCTGGACCCTAGGTTCTTTACAAAATAATGTTAGGCAATAGTAATTCAGATTAGACAGACCAGAAATATTTTCATTATTCGGCTCATAAATACATCCCCACAAATTCATCCTATTTCTTGTAAATATTATTTCAGGACATATTTCTGCACAAATAATATATCTATTTAACTACAATTTTTGCTCATTATCAAATTTTCATCTTGCAATGTTACAGCTGAATTTTAATATGATTATATATTTGGCTGGTTCCCCCCCAATCAACATGCTTATGATATTTTTAAATAAAATCTTTCCATTTTCATTACATACCATGTTTTAGACCCAGTGACATCATTACTGGGTCTCTGTGCTTCTGTATACAATGCAGCACGATCACAGCTGGTGTGAGGGGCAGCAGGGTGCTGTACATAGCCTCCAGATGACATCATAGCACCCTGGCTCTATACTCCTTTCAGGAAACCACTTAATTCCAGCTGCAGCAGGAAGATGATGCTGAAAACTGCCACCTGTGCAGTAATGTTGTATAGGGCTCATAGGCATCCCAGAGGCAACATTCGAAATGGACAAAAGAATAATGGTTACAGCTATTCTGAATAATATTTTGGGGAAAAAAAAACAACAGACCCACTTGAATTATATCAGGCACACAAGATCCTAGGTCCTCAAACAATTATGAGAGACATACTTTGTTGTGTCCACTTTTTCACAATTAAACAGGACATTATCCAAAGAGCATGGCACCAAGGCTTCAAAGATATTGATGAAGCAACAGTTCATGTTCTGCCCGACGTCTGCTACCAAACCCTGTACAGATGGCACTTGTCGAAACCCTTGCTGGAACCAACCACTTTGTGTAATGGGCACACAATAC